GGGCACTCACCCAAGGCCCGGCCTGGGCTGGGTGCTGTTAACATGCCCCATGTCCCTGGATCTTCATGCCGAGGTGGGCGCCTATCTCTACCCCATTTCACAAGTGGAAGTGAGACTCAGAGGTTAGCGCCCCACCCAGGGTGACAGCTAGTGAGAGTGGAGCGGGACAGCTGGCTCAAGGCTACACGCGTACGCACTGCTCCACACCCTGTAAAAACCTTTTTTCTCTTTTCATTGGGGCCTTGGCCTGAGAGGCTGGGATTTATGCACCGACTGAATGTCAAGGACAGACTCCAGCCGGCCTCAAGGACAAGGCGATGATGAAATGCCGAGGAAGTGCTGGCGCGGAGCCGCCCTGCTGCACAGAGCCTTCCTCAGCGGCTCGGGCCCTTCCTCTTCCCTGCGTCCTTGGAAGGCTGCCAGGTCAATGTCCCAACACCGTCAAATGGCTCCCCACTACCTGCAAGATCAAGTTCACATTCCTTAGCCTGACATTTAAGGTCCAGGCTACCTCTAACTTCACTTCAGAAACCTTCCAGCTAGGGTTGCTGCTGTGGGTCCCTCTGCCCGCCCATCACGTGCCTAGGCGTGGACTGTGGACACGGAACATGCCTGTGTTTGAACTCTAACTGGGTGGGTTGCTTTCTCTCTGTGAGCCTTGGTTTCCCCATGTGGAAAATGGGGTAATAATAATAATAATAATTCACAGACGATAGCTGAGATAATGCTTGTTTAGCACAGGCTTATGAGCCAGTGTCATCTGCAGGGAGTGAACCAACAGGGGCTCCCTGCATGGTCTTCGGGGGCCAGAGCGGAGCTTTGGGGATGACTGTACAGCGGAATCACCCAGGCGTCCCCCACCCCACCCCTGCTGTTTAAAACCATGTTCACCGACATCCTCCCATCCCGCGGGGCCCACTCACTTTCCTGGGATCTCCTGCGTGTCCCCGGGAAATCTCACTTCAGCATCTCTGACACTGTTTAGACCCCGGCAGCCTCGTGTCATCCATCCGCAGGCAGCCCTTATCTCCGCCCCACACCTGTCGCCATGAAACCGACGCCTCTCCGCTCTGTCTCCCCTCCTGCCTGAGGTCTGACCAGACTTGTCTCCCTCCCAGCCTGGTCTCCCTAGGGCTGCGATGCCCTGTGACTCCTTGTCGCTGTGGCTCACTGAGTTTTCCTAATGAAACACCTTCTTCCCATGGGGCCCCCCAAGGGGCAACCCTTCCGCCCACAGGCCCACAGGGGAGACTGGCAGAGGGGAGACTTGGAAAATACATTCTGCTCGGCTTCCTGCTGTCCTCCTCTCCCCTGTCCCTCTGTCAATGGAGAAATTTGATCATATCAACAGAAGTATGGTGTTTAGAACAAAGAAGGTGACATGCCCTCTTTCCCATTCTTAGTCAACCACATGTGGAGGGAGAACCATGGATTGGCTGCCTCCTGCACGCCCCCTACTGGGGATCGAGTCCACAACCCAGGCACGTGCCCTTGACTGGAATCGAACCTGGGGCCCTTCAGTCCCCCGCAGGCCAACGCTCTGTCCACTGAGCCAGACCAGTCAGCGCAAGGTTCACTGCTTTTAGCATGTCCCCCAAGGCGTGATCTCACCTGACCCTTACAATCACCCGTGTCCATGAGGCAAGGACTGGGAGAACCATCGTCCCCACTTCTCACAAGAAGAAATGGAGGCCCAGAGAGGCCAAGAGACAGACCAAAGGTTACACAGCTTATTGCAGTCCAGGGCCCAGCCCCCAGCCTGCTGGCCCTTCATCGCGTGGTCCTGTCCCCGCCCCAGGCCACCTTTGTGACCAAAGGAGCAATAAAAAGGATGGGCATGTGAGGCCTGGGAATGTGACGTGTGAAAGAACGTGAAGTAGATCAGACCAGGCAATGAGAGATGGGGTGAGAGTCTGCCTGTAAACCCTGCAAGTAAAATCCCTAAGTGTCCAGGAATAATTAAATCCGTCCGCATCCCGCTGGGGGCCCCTTTTCTACCAGGCTCTTCTGTGAAAACCACGGTCAGGAGGAGAAAACCATAATTACTGCCTGGGATGACAGCACACTTCAGGGACATGTCAGCGTGCGGAGGGCGGGTCACGCAGCCAGAAAAAGCATGTTCGGTGGCATGATTTCCTATTTGGAAAACGGGAATTAAGTGCCCGTTGTTTTTGGGATTCAGGGCACAGCAAGTGAAGCCTGGCACAGCCTCCCTGGCTGGCAAAGACCCACAGCAGCCCCGTGGATTCATAAGCAGGAAAAGCTCCTTGCCCCCGGGGGAGGAGGGAGTATAGTATCTGAAACCCCAGGGCCTGCGATGGGGGCGGGGGGGCGGGGAGGTTTGGAGGTTTACATAGGTTAAGAAATTGGGGGCTAGGTGCCCTTTAAGGCTCTCCGAGTTCCACCCATCTGTGTAAAATCGTCTGGATGATTATTGATTGTGGGAAGAGAATTTCGTCTGATGTGAAGTCAGAGCTTCATGCTCATTCTAACACACTGTCACCCCCACCACACCAAGGACTGGGATGCTCATCTTCAGACCTATGGGTTAACCTCAGTTCAGGCTGCAGAATTGCCACAACCTCAGCCCGCAGCTGAGGCCCCTGCTGGCTGCTCCGGCACCTGTAGATTAATATTGATTTGTTGTTCCACTCAGCCACACATTCACTGATTGATTCTTCTATGTCCCCTGACCGGGGGTTGGACATCCAACCTTGGCATATCCGGACGATGCTCCAACCAGCCGAGTTACCCAACCAGGGCAGCACCTACAGATTCAGGGAGACCTGATGCCGGGCTGCCCCTCGCTGGCAAGGGTGATCTAGAGAGCTCCCCATGGGCCCTGGCCCCCCACTTCCCCTCACTGACTACCCTTTCCCAGCAGGGTTCCCTGGGGCTCCCCAGCTCCTTCTAGCCATCCCCTAAGCATGTTCTGGGGTCCAGCACTCCCTCCTCACCTGAGTCCCCTCTCCCTCCTCTGTGATGTCAAGTTCCTTTCAAGATAGGCTCATTCTCTCGCCTTGTCTTCCTCATTTTCCGTTCTTTCCACCAGCTGCCCCGCCTCCGCGGCAGAGCTGGGGCAGAGCCCCCAGGAGCTCCGTTGCCTTAGCCTGGTGGATCTTGGCTGCTGCCTGACACAGTGACCACCACCCTCAGCTTCTGGAAAGTCTCTTGGCGCTCGGCCACGTTCTGTGGACCTTGCCTCCTCATTTCTTCATTTATTTATTAGCACTTAGCCCGACGGTTACTAATAATTTTTCCAAAAATGTCTTAACTCCATGAGGGTGGGGACCAGGTCTTTCTCACACGTACCTGTGCAGCGCCTGCAAACTTGTCCTCCCCTCCCCTGGCCTGCCCAGCCAGTTGGCCGAGCACCCGTGCCCAAGCTCTGAGGGCAGGCAGCAAACATGCAAAGCTAATGCTCTGGCCCAGCCTGTGTGGCTCAGTGGTTGAGCGTTGACCTATGAACCAGGAGGTCATGGTTCGATTCCTGGTCAGTGCATATGCCCGGGTTGCCGGCTCAGCCCCCAGTAAGAGTCGCGCACGAGCAGCCGATCAATGATTCTCTCTCTCCCTTCCTGTCTGAAATCAATAAAAATATATTTAAAAAAAAGAAGGTGGGCTCCAGGAGACAATCCTGGGACTGCATCCCTCCTTAGCCACTTGCTCAATGTGCGGCCTTGGGCAGGCTGTCTGCCTTCTTTTAACCTCAATCTTCTCACCTGTGCCTGAGAAGTAACAAGACAAGGCAAGGAAAGAGCCCAGTGACACTCTGGCCATGAGAGTCCTCAGTAAGTACCTTTATTTTCACTGCAATTCATCGCGGTCTCATCATTGTGTTCATTCATGCACATTCCCTTCCAGATGTGGTCTGTATGCAAAATCTTTTCTTTCTGTCTTTCTTTTTTACATTTTCACCAGCATGTATTCTGCTTTCAAACTTTAAAAAACATCATTCTTGAATATTTAGTTTCCCATGTGGCTAGCATCGTTTCACTGACATATAAAAGGGGTGTTCCATGCCCCCCCACCCCCCGGCATTTTAAGTGGGTTTGTTTTTAGTTTTATTCCCTCCCTGTATTATTTACCCCAAGCTCTTGGTGTAACAGGGACAGGCAGGTTCTTGACAACCATTTCCTCCCCCGGCTGCACCTGCTGGCTCAGGGGCCCCCAGAAAGGCTCTGCTGCAGGCCCTGCCGCTAACTCGCCCTGGGCCCCGGGCAAGTCACTCCCTGTGCTCCCGGCTCCCTTCTATAAACAATGACGCGCTCTGTCCACCCACTCGCAGCACAGAAGCGCTGTCCAAGCAAACATGCTAACCGTCATCGCCACTCACGGACCAGAAACAAACACGAGTCTCTCTCAGAGGCACAAGGTCTTAAAAGCTTCCTGGGAAAGGCCTGTCATGGTCATGTTCTCTGCCAGGGAACAGAGAAGGCACTTGGAAATTCTTGCTTCAGAAGCAGGAGTGGTTGGACCCCATGAGCCAGTGGGCAGGGTTCAGGGCCCCCGTCCCACTTCACTTAGAGCACGTCTGCTATTGCCCGTCTTAAACCTGGGGGCTACCTCGGAGGATTTAACAGGCACCAAGTGTAAAACCATTCATCTGGGCCAATGTACCCACTTTGCAGATGAGAAAACTGAGACCCTATGAGGCGAAGGGGTGTGCCTGCCAGCACCATTCTGCATGACCCTGAGCTGTTTTCAAAGCATCCCTGAAAGGGTGCTCTCAAGATCTGGAATGAGAAAGCATGCAGATCCCCCAGGGAGGCTCAATTGGCCTGGCGGGACGTTCTGGAAAATTGGAAAAATCCCTTCTGTCTTCTCAAGGCCTTTAAACCAGGAAGCGGGTGCGGCCTGGACACCTCTCTGGTGGTGAGGAGGTGCAGACGGCAGAGTGAAAGTGAGAGGGGCCAAGTGGACAGTAACAGGTAGGACACGTTAAGGCCGGGAGCTCCCCTGACCCGCCTCCCTTTGCTCCAGGGACGAGCTGGGCCAGTGACAGAAAAAGAGCAGCCCCCCGTCCCTGCCCTGGCAAATGCCGGCGGGAGGAAATAGTCCTCCTGCCGCCTGGCGGGGTGGCTGCCCAGGGCCTGATCTCAGCTAATTCAGCATCGCGAGGGGAGGACATCGCCCCCAGGTCAGCTCTGCATCTCCAACGCACCCAGAGACCGGGCGCGACGCGGAGAACGGCCATTGATTTTCACTCGAGCGGGCTGACCGCACACAACCAATCTGTCAGGGGCCTGTCTGCTTCAGAGGCTCATCCTGACCACATGCAAATGAACTGTCCTGGCAACCAGGGCGATCATCAAGGCCCAGCTGGGCAGGGGCCCGGCTCCCGCTGCTCGGATCAGCCTGCTGACCCGCCATTGTGCAGCCACATTCTGAAGGCCCGGGAATCCGCTCGGAGCCAGTTGGCCATGCCGGGGAGGGGGCTCTGGGGAACCAGGCCCAAGTCCCACTCGCTCCAACAGGGCCTGGCAGTAACATCCTCACTTGCTTCTTCTGATCTCCGACCCCTCATTTCTGTAGGATTTATGGTACACGCACAACCAGGAGGCACTGAGTTCTGGTCTGGGCTCTGCGCTGGCCAAGCGTCCTCAGGCCAGCAGAGACGGAGGTGACACCACCCAGGGGGCCGGGGGCCTGACAGAGGCCAGGGGTCCGCCTGCGTGTCCATCCCTGTTGGCCCACTTCCTAGCTATGGCCCAGGCCGGCGCCGTCAGCTCAGAGCCTCCCCTTCCTCACCTGTGCTCTGGGGCTGACCACGGGGCCTGCCTCCGCGGGGGCAGGTGGTGGGGACTAAAGAACAGTCAGGACTGCAGGGCCTCACACCCGAGGCCTTCCTTCCACAAGCAGGAGCTGGAGGTTCAGAGAAGGGAGCGATGTTCCCGGGGACACACAGCAAGGCAGAGCGGCATCGGGAGGGGGGCCGCGTGAGGCAAGCACGAGAGGCTGATGGGAAGGACCCGGTGACGTCCTGCCCTCCTCAGTGGCTGTCACGGGAGGATGGGACACGGGGACGGCGGGTCACGGGCACGTCATGGATGATTGCTTAAAAGGGTCAAACGCTTTATTCTATTCGCAGGCCTTTTGTTTGGATACACAGGTTTCCTGCTCTCCAGAGAAAAGGGAAGCGGTGTCTGCCTGCAAGAGGTTTTGGGCCTCGCCTTGGGGCTCTGTCCCTCCCCTCTGCCCGCTGCTGGCCCGGCTCCCCTGCTGTGGGATAAGGCACTGTGTGTTCTGCAAGAGGGTGCTCACGGCTGGCTGGTGGACAACGAGGCGGCCTTCTCAGGGGCTGCAAAGCTGAGGCGGCTGAGGGGTCGAGGTGAACTTGGGTCTCTGGCGAGGAGGCCTCGAGCTCTGGAAACAGCTCGGCACCGCTGCCTCCTCGCGGGCCCTGGCGTGGCGGCGTCAGGAGGGAATCATGCCTTTATTTCGTTTGCGGTCGGCCATGGTTCTCCGGTTGTGATTGGCTCGTGTCGACTTGTTCGCTTCCTTCTTCCTGCGTTCCTGGGTGGTCTCACGGTTCTGCCCGTGGCCCCGGGGGCTGCCGGCCACAGCTGCTGAGCTGTCATGTCGGTACCTAAGGGAGGAACGACCCATCCCAGGAGAACCATCAGCCAGAGGAGCTCCGCCAGGAAGAGCCCTGGCCTTCCTTGAAGATCCCTGGGAAAGGGCACAGCTTGGGCCAGGCCCCTCCATTCCCCCCCTTCCAGCGGGAGGAGGAGTGGAGCCTCGCGGGGGCGGGGCTCGGGGCCCTGGAAGCTCTGCCTGGTGATTTCTCTTCTCTGAGCCTGGCCTGCGGATGGGACCCTGGCTAGGCGGTGAGGAAGGACCAGCTAGTGGGCAGCCCACACCAGGGAGGAGGAAGGCTTGGGGATGGGTCCCCTCCTCCATCCGGGGCCTGGTGCTGGCGGCCACCAAGTGCCTTCTGGGCTCTTTCCCGTGTCACAGTCTGCCTGACACCAGCCAGCGGCTGGACACATCGGGCTCTCACACGAGGGGACACGCTTCAGCGTCTGTCAATCAGCGGGTGGAAGGGTGGGCCGCAGAGCTGGCCGCCTGGACTCCCGGATGGCTCCCTCCCACCAGAATGCTCACCCCTTCCTGGCGAGAAAGGCCATGCGCCTGGCTTCTGCCTTCTCCCGTAGCACCGCAGGGTCCTGCACAAAATGGTCGGGCTGCGGGGGGAGGGGGAGAAAGAATCACGCGTCGTCCCAGATCCCCAAGCTGCAGCGAGACTGCACTGACTGAATCTCGTCGATGCCTCCATGCCAGGAGCCGGGGGAGCCACAGCAGGGCGGGGCCCGGCCCCAGAACGCCTCCTCTGTCCCTTCCCCCAACTGCCCAAGGGGAGGCAGCACTAGGGACTGAGGGTCCTGGACGGCATGGTCGGGGGGGTGACTATAGTTGGAACATAACGACAAATGGGAGCGATGGGGGCTGGTGGCCTGGCCCTGGGCACATCTGAATTTATCACCCTGGTGGGGGCCCTGGGCTGCCCCTCCATTCAGCCTGAGCATCACCGCTTCCCACTGTCCTCTATGGTGAGGCTCTCGTTAAGATTTTATTTGAAGAAAACGTTTAGCTGCTAAAAAATAAAACTTTCAAACCCGCCAGCCCAGATGGTCTCCCAGGGCCCGTGGGCTCTGAGGCTTCTCTGATTTTAGAAATTGCCATCCTGGGCACGGAGGCAGGCAGCTGCCCTCTCCCGGCTCCGGCTCCTGGGCCGAGGGAACCCAGCAGCTCAAAGGCCCGGCCTCTGAGCCATTCCCGGGCCCTCCCCGGGCAGCGGAGGCGAGTCCGAAGCCAGCAGCTCTCCGAACAGACATCTGGGCTTCAAGGTGCCCTCTCCATCTGGGCTTCAAGGTACCCTCTCCATCTGGGCTTGAAGGTGCCCTCTCCCTCTGGGCTTCCAGGTGCCCTCTCCATCTGGGCTTCAAGGTACCCTCTCCATCTGGGCTTGAAGGTGCCCTCTCCCTCTGGGCTTCCAGGTGCCCTCTCCATCTGGGCTTCAAGGTACCCTCTCCATCTGGGCTTGAAGGTGCCCTCTCCCTCTGGGCTTCCAGGTGCCCTCTCCATCTGGGCTTCAAGGTACCCTCTCCATCTGGGCTTGAAGGTGCCCTCTCCCTCTGGGCTTCCAGGTGCCCTCTCCATCTGGGCTTCAAGGTGCCCTCTCCATCTGGGCTTGAAGGTGCCCTCTCCGCCGGCACTGAGGCGGGCTGCCTCCAGGCCAGCAGGAGGGGTGCAGTGTCTCCACCGCCCTTTAGAGCTGCGCCCTCCTCCCTCGTCCGCCACCTGCTGAGGAGGTACCTTGGGGGCCTCGTCTTCAGCTTCCTCCTCCTCCTCGTCATCCTCCTCCTGCCCTTCTGTGGGCACTTTGGTTCTTAGCACTTGAGGGATGGTGAAGGGCCTACGGTTTAGAGAGAAGGTCAAATCAAAGGCAACATTAAACTCAGAGCCTCAGGGCAGAGGGAACGGGGCGGGTGAGGGGCCTGATGGGACAGGCTGAGGAGGCTGGGAAAAACCGAAGTGCCTTTCCCGCCAGCTCTGCTCCAGCCCCCGGATTCTCCGAGGATCCCAGGGTCTGACGTACGGGCTTGGGGGGGACTGAGCGTGGGCTGGGGGCTCTCCAGTTCACTTTTCATCTGTATTGGGTAATCTCCATCTAAACCCACTGGGAAAGGCTTTCTGCAACTGAGAACAAAGTGAAACTACTGCATGAAGTTAAATTAGGGGACCCCACTGAGGGTGGGTTGGACCAACAGGCCAAGGGGTGACTGGGGCTGGAGGGAGCACTGGACTCGGAGTTTGGGCCCTGGTTCTGCCACTGACGTGCTCATGTGATCAGAGCCTCGGCCTCCCCACCTGGATAAACAAGAGGCTCTGGGGGGGCCCCGG